AAAGGCCTATTGAAGTAAGAGACAATCTCCCTCACAAATACAGCGACGCTTTTGTCTTACTGAACACATTGCAAAACAGCACATTTGAGCCTGGGCTACACTACTACAGCGTTGTCATTTCTTTCATGATCCAGGGCGGGGATTGCGCTGCCGTTTGAGTACGCAGCTGAAGGGGACTGGGAGCCAGTATCGGACACAGACCTCATCTGGCGTTTGACTTCAAACACCTGACGAAAGGAAACGAAATTTCAACAATTTAATTGATCACTAAGACTTATTCGAGACAAAGTCAGATGGTATACCAGGTCAAGGTTTAGAAAAGTTCAACAGGGAAGGGTTGCCTTCCTACTGTGTCTAACGTCTGATGGATTGAAAACCAAAAATCGACAGACAAACAAAAACAAAAACCAGCAAATAAAACAAAAACAAAGACAAAACAAAACAAACAAAGAGAAACAAATTTAAACTACTATTGCAACGACAGTATTCGGTGCCCCTGAGGATGAGTGGACCATGCTGCGAAACCGATATAAAATTTGACCTAGTACTTGACATCAATTGAAGAAAAGCGATTAGAAGAGACCAAAGTTCACGTCGCATTTTGAAGCTTGACTGCTTACACTTCCTTTTGTACAAAGTCTTTTGTTTGGACAGAATCACTTTGAGGATTTTTAAACGAAAGCATCTTAAATCCTGACAAGGTGTTCAAATGTTTGGTGATTTGACGAAAACGGCTACACTGGTCAAACTCTGAGGGATTCGGTGCCAAATTCAAATGGAATCTCGTCTACAAGCTACACCCGCAAATTATTTCTTTTAAGACAATGGTATTGAAAGTTTGCAGGTTTTTCATTGTGTCAAGGGTGGGGAAATCATGGGTGTATATGAAATCTATGCAAACAGCTATAGTACAAAGTAGTAAAATGAACTCTTTAACCTTTAAGAGGTCATAAAATGCTAATTCAATTGTTTCTTTTACCACAAATAACTGAAACAATTGAACTTGTCTTTTCAAACTGTAAATGAGCTGCTCTGGAACCCAGTAAGATGCTCTCCTTACTAATGAAATGAGGAATTTCTCAGAGCCTGTTAAGGTCTTTAAATTCGAACTTATTTTGTCTTTGGGGGATGATTCAGGCTCGTGGGTCAGTCATTAATGGTATAGAATTTAGAAACCATGAAAGTATCAAATGAGAAATACGATTCAGAACCCATGTGATTTCATCTCCACCATTAGAAATTATATTCATTGTTTTTTGTACTTCCCACCGCGTTTAAATATTCCAAATAACAGCTTAACCTTTCAAAATTTCTATTCCAATATGCTGGAAATATGTGATATTGACCAAGCGTGACATCAACGTGGGTGGATAATTTTAAACTGAGTTGATGACGTAAATTTGCCACCGTGAAGAGTTTACAAAGCGGACGTTTCGAGCGTTAACCCTTCGTCAGAGCGAATGACCACAGTTTCTTTAGAAACGTACCTCCTTTATGGCTAGATGTTTGCCGATTTGTTTGTTTTTTTGCGTTTTTATGGACCGAGACGAAATCGAGGTCCATAAAAAGGCCAAAAAGAACGAGGCTAATACCCAGTCTTCTTGACCGAACAAGATTGGTCAATAAAAGCCAACAGGATTGGCGATAAACCCACGAGAGTCATTAACGTTTTCTTTGTTTTGACTTTGTTTTGACTTTGTTTGGCCACTTTTTACGACTCCATTGGAGAAATCTACCAAAAGTTAGGTTCTTTGTTATTCGTTTCACCTATTTCTCTTTTTCTTTCGCGGGGTCATAGCAGGCAATCCCGAACGGGCAAGATGAACCGGTCCGTACCTGTCTCGGAAGCCAATCAGAACATAGATTTCGCTGAAAAAATGCAAGTAGCTTGTTCATCCACGGCCAAATGGTGACTGGAGATAAAAATCAGAAATTTAGTTCAGATTTGCTCCTCGCGATATTCTTAGACAGATTAACAGGAGATGTAAAGCCAGGTGACCTCAATTTTATAAAACGTACAAGCAATTTTCAATTTCATAAGTTTCACAATAAAAACAGGTAAAAGTCGGCTTATAAAGTATAGTGGGGGAGGTTTTTTCGCTGATATTCAGGGATAACTTAGAAATTGCGTGACATAATTCTTAATAAATTTAATACATGTGAGGCTTTTGACATTATAAGTCATGTTACTCTTTCGGTCTTACTTTATGTGTGTCTGTTTCTTTCTTTTTGTTTATTGTGTTTGTTTATCTTTTGTGACGCACACGCGTTGTGGGATTTAGTTGATGTTTTCTAGTCTTAAAAAGAGAAAAAACATTTCTTTACCACGCTATCGAAGAACTGCAAGGGGAAGAAAACCTTGGTCACTTGTCAAAATTAAAGTAAAAAAATTCTTCTTTGTCACTTCCTGCCAAATTTGATGACTCGCCCATTTAATTCTCCTCTTGGGTCTCGTGACAGGATGCCTGAGAGATGTTCACTAACATAACCCTAACAGCTTAAAAGTATCACCGGATTTTGGACTTAATCTGGGCACCTTTATGGTATGCTTCGGCGGCATTACAGTGCCGTCTAATTTGGTCATTAGTACTTTGGCTCGCTCGGGTCGCGCAAAATTGCATACCAAACTTCAACCAGAAGCGCTAGATACAGTGCAGGAACTTACTAGCAGTGCGTGATATCTTGAATCATATTTTAAACATGATTTCTTCCTGAGTGAACTGAAATGTCGTAACCTACAGCTAAGGCAGACCTTGTTATTGATGTATGAAAGACTTCCCGCAGATTCCCACAGCGCTGTGATAGCAAGAACAACCGACTAGCTTCAGCAGACACGTTCATAGGATAGTCAAAATCAAGAAATATAATGATTAATAGCTATTGAAACGGCTATAGAATAGAACACTCAAGACAGCAATATCATCGGCGATGCTTCATGATCTCACAGCGCGAACATTACGAATTTAACAGTAATCAGAGTAAAAAGTGCTCCTGTGGGAATACTTTGCGTGATATAACGAGAGAGGAAGTAAATATCTGAGGTCACGTAAGAGGTAAATAAGCTAAAGCCAGAAGGGAAGTTTTCAAATTGAGATGGTCTGCTGAGGCGCTTCAAATAACTTTTACATTAATTCACCCTTTCATTATTGTATCTCAACTCACCATGGATAAAAGCGTACGAGATACGGATTTTGGACTTAATCTGGGCACCTTTATAGTATGCTTCGGCGGCATTACAACGCCGTCTAATTTTGTCATTAGTACTTTGGCTTGATCGGGTCACGCAAAATTGTATACCAAACTTCGACCAGAAGCGTTAGATACACTGCAGGAACTTACTAGCAGTGCGTGATATCTTAAATCATGTTTTAAACATGATTTCTTCCCGAGTCAACTGAAATGTCGTAAGCTACAGCTAAGGCAGACCTTGTTATTGATGTATGAAAGACTTCCCGCAGATTCCCACAGCGCTGTGATAACAAGAACAACCGACTCGCTTCAGCAGACACGTTCATAGGATAGTATTTCCATCATCATTCGCCAATGAAGAGGGAGGGGGGGGGGGGCCGTTGGAAGGGGCCCGTACAAGATTATAATTTTTAGTCAAAATCAAGAAATATAAAGATTAATAGCTATTGAAACGGCTACAGAACAGGACACTCAAGACAGCAATATCTTCGGCGATGCTTCATGATCTCACAGCGCGAACATTACGAATTTAACAGTAATCAGAGCAAAAAGTGTTCCTGTGGGAATACTTCGCGTGATATAACGAGAGAGGAAGTAAATATCTAAGGTCACGTAAGAGGTAAATAAGCTAAAGCCAGAAGGGAAGTTTTCAAATTGAGATGGTCTGCTGAGGCGCTTCAAATAACTTGTACATGAATTTACCCTTTCATTATTGTATCTCAACTCACCATGGATAAAAGCGTACGAGATACAAAAATGACCACTGGAAAAAGAGACCGTAGAGAAATGTTTTACATATGCTCTTCTACGCTATCGGTTATTGCAATTGTGTTGGGTTTCGCTCTTTTCGCGAGAATAGAAACTGTCTCCCAGGATTTGAGGACAATTGACACAAAATTCTCGCTGCAAATTCAGCAAATCCGAGACATTCTTAAGGAAAGTGCAGCCTCTTCCCGCGTGAGCGAAAACTTTGACACATCAAATGGTAGGGTGACTGAGAACTGACACTGAATTTTTCTAGTTTTTATCCTAAATTTTCTTTTTTGTGTATATGTTCTTTTCTATAATTATAGTATAAGGAATCTGTGTTTTTTGTCTGAACATTGGATAGAAGAACAGTAAGGTTACAGGCACAAGAATTCTATCACGCATTTAATTCATGGGCGACTAATTTTATTTAATTTTTTTTATCTACAGAGACAAAAATTAGGCTTGTAGCTATACTCGCTATATGTATAGGTAATAAAATGATTTCGAGTGAAATTTGGCGTTAATAAGCACGAACAAAATTGCCCTGGCTCGTAGAGCATCTGAAAGCGTGCGCGCGCTATCTCTAATTTGCACTCGTGTTACAACTTTGCACTCGTGTTACATGAGAATTGTCATTTACATTTTTGATAACGAAACAAGTAACGAATAGCAAAGCCAAGCCGACTGCAAAATTGTATTAGAATGCTGACAAGATTTATATTACGTACATTAATACGTTAGATTCGTTAAAGGGCACAATGTCAACCATCCAAGGTTCTTTACCCCATAATCATCTGAGCTCGAGTACACACGCTTTAAAATGTATTTATATTTTTTTAATTCGCCTGATCCGGATTATGTCGTCTGCTCCAATGATTGAATGCGGAAATTCTCACAATTCTTACAAAATTATCAAAGAATATGTCAATATTTATTGCAGCCAAAATATATTGGAAACGTTAGTCAATGGTTTTACTTTGTTTATTTTAGCCATCCGATACAAAATTCCAGTTGTTCGTCGCAGCGTGGATACAGTCAACGGCAATGAATCGATTAGCCTCTCTGACCTTGGAGCGGCTATCAAGAGATACGTGCGATCGACTATGAAAGGATATGTCTGTCAGAGTCCAGACAGGGTTTGTGTGGCAGGGTCCCCCGGACCAATAGGAGCTCGTGGTCTTCCCGGAAAAAGAGGGCCCAAAGGAATTAGAGGGAAAAAGGGAACGCGAGGAGTTGTGGGACCTCCAGGAGGACCGGGAAAGCAAGGCATCAAGGGAGATATTGGCCCTGAAGGAATCAAGGGAGAAAAAGGTAAACAGTAAGATAACGATGATAATCCGAACAATGATAATGACAAAAGTAAAAGTTATTGAAAAAAAAAAAAAAAGAGAGAGAAGAAAGAAAAGAAAAAAAATTTGTGGTCAAAAACTATCACAGTAATAGTTCGCGATGATAGATTTTTTCGGATGTGCTTTTGTTTGATTTTAACAACTCATTCATTTTTATCCGTGTATATTTCTTTTCATCGCATCATTTGCAACATTGCTTAATGTTTAGCCTTTGTATATCGAGGTATGAAAACAAGGGGGAAATGTGGAGAGCACTAGAGAAGTATCAGAGTTTTTTTTTCACAATCGTATAGTAAAAAAGCCGTTTTTTATACGTTGCACGTATAATCTTTCATATGTCTCTATCTAAAGGAGCGATCTTTAATGAATAATATTTCATTATGTCTTTTAACTGGCAACTCTCCTTTCCTCAGGAAACCCATGATCTTTTACATGTCTTTACCTAAAGTAGCTATATTTGATGATTACCATTTAATTATTTCCTTAAACTGGCAACTCACCTTTTCTTAGGGAACCCAGGGACACCTGGACAACCAGGAGCTAAAGGTGAACCAGGCGAGTCCTTATCTGCACCAAAGGTGACTGTATCACCGACTTCAGACACTGTTACTGAAAACCAAACTGCCACGTTTTATTGCTCGGCTGATGGGAATCCAACGCCTACAGTCACCTGGAGTAGAACAGGTGATACGGAACCAATTTCAAGCCCACATAATAAGTTGGAAATCAGAAAAGCTACGTATAATGACTCGGGAGATTACGTTTGCACGGCCAAGAGCATATTGGGTGGGGTGCAAAGGCAGGTGAAGCTCTTTGTCGAAGGTAAGCATGCTTTGGAGAGTAAAGTATTTACTGTTAGCAGTTGTGACCGTAATGAGTTTTTCTTTGATTTCTTATCTTACTTGATGTAAATCTTCACGGAAAGACTTCAATTAAGGTGATTCCTCAGAAAAAAAAGTTACCCAGCAATTTTTTTTAACTTCCCCTAAATGTTTCCTACCCATATCTGTTCCCATGTCTGTCTGTCCATGTCTGTCTGTTTCAAAAAAATACAATGAAAACAATAAGTCACCATGCTTCTTTAAGAATATGATGGGCCAAACTTACCTTATTTATGCCTGTACTGGCACTAATCACGCAAGTTACTTAATCGGTTCACTTTACATTTTGCGTTTAGCTGGAAGCAAGGGTTTTCAAAGTAACAAGAAATAAAATTGATAAGTAGAACGTCTCAAGTGTCTGGAACATTTTGATATACGATTTAGGGTAAAATCACACAATTTTAAACGACAT